CCAATCAAATTCGTGAATTCGGTAGTTACCAGTCCTTGTGAGACACAGCCATATAATAAATGAGAATACAGATGTCTTGTAAACGCCTGTTCGCTAGAGTTGGCAACTTGACTCTCTCCAATAGCTGAGTATAGCTCGCATGCTTGTCCTTGTAAACAGCCCTCAAGCCCCTTTCTTGTAGTCGTTCAAGTTTACGTGCATCGCTAGCTGTGCAAAAGTGCCACACTAGGTGACAATAAGTAAGGTAAGGTAGTACAGCTGACTTGTATAACTGAAGTTTGGCCTTAGTAGGGATTAAATTCCTTAGCCGCATTAGAAAATCGGTTTATTTTGGAAATTAAAATAGTTTGAAGTGGGCAGACCTTTCGAACGACAGAGGTCACTGCTGATAATGGTGTATTTCTGAAAATTACAATAATACGGTCACATATTTTACAGTGTGCAAGATTACCTTTCAGTGGTAGACTTAACGAAAGTTTTAAAATGATACTCCAAAATGAAATAAAATTTGGAGGTTTTTCTTTTATATGATGCTGCGATGTTTTTTGCTGTTAATTTCTCATAGTTTTGTTTTTGATCGCGTCCATTTACAGCTGGAGCCTCAACACCGTAAAGCTGGCGCCATTCAAGAGCTGAGCCTTGTCAAAATACAGTTGAACCCTGCTATTACGAATTTTTGAGGGAAAAGAAAACTACAGTAGCTCGAAATAGCGGTAGTTCGGAATGGCCCTTAGGAAATGACTAACGGGCAAATCCATGGCTAATGGTTTTCAGTTCCAAATAACGGGGAATTCTAAATAGCCGAGTTCGAATTAACGGGGTGCAATTGTAACTTGACTAAACGGGTTGCAGAAACGGTTTACTGTAACGAGGACAAATTGTCTCCATCAATGAATGGATGAATGAATGAAAGACTTCATTAAACTGTCAATAGTATCTAGCTTAAAAAAAACTAATTGGGGACACTATTTACACAATACTATGCACCTTAGCTAAAGTTAAAATTATTTTCAATCACAGGCTGCATCAAGGCCTACTCTCCTCTTAAGTTCTTCAATTTTCAATATTCTGGATGTCCAGAAAACAGTGACTATTCCATTTTGGAAGAGCGCCATCAGTAGAAAGTCAAATCTCGAGAGTTTTATCTCGCATGGAGTGTAACACATGCTCGGTATAGTTTGCAATATTTCCCGGCAGACGTTTCATATAATTTTGGCCAGTATCTACATTGGAAATTAACCTTCCAAGCAGACATTCTCTAAGCGCGCCACGCTTTGAAAAGTCCGAGAAACTATCTTTGTCATGGGAACTTTGGCGTCGATTTAAGTCATAAGACTCTGAACGTTTACAATTGACCCAAAGCTGAGCTGTTTTCCAACAGTGGCAATAAGTGTTCTTTCCTTCCCAGCCGAGCGGACAAGAAACAAACAAAGAAAAAAAAAAGAAAAGATTTATGGTTATTAAACGTTTAGGAAGGGCAATGGGACGGGCGTTAGCTTTTTTTTCAAAAACTCCTTCAGTGTAACCTTTCCTTCCAGTATTACCTTCACTGTCGTTTAAAGTTTTATTTTATTTTATTTCATTTTCACTCTGTTAAAGAAAGGATTTCCGTATTTATCCGAATACAGTGGGTTTTAAAGTGATGCTGGTTTTAAAGTAATGCATATAAATTTTAATCCATTACAGCGCTATTACTTAGACGTGAACTAATTCGCTGTTAGCACAGCTGGCAAATATCAAAATATTCGAAAGAAGAAAGAGTTGCTCTTGAACCTCAAGCAGAAACCCAGAACTTCCGCTTGTATTTCCGGGCCTATCAAGGCGGATGGAACAACAAGCACGGACCGCGAAAAAGTGTGCCTTTGTTAGCGAGTATTGTTAAATACTACATGACCAGGTTGTACTCCAGTACGGACAAATATCGCTTCTAAAAAATATCAGAAAAATAGGATTTAGTTGTGGGATCAATTCTGGCAAAGTGGCACGTCACCTTGAAACAGTGTACTAGGTCATTTCAGATAAACTCTAGTGTAGGATATGGATATGTGGCATTGGTTGGTAATTCAAAATAAAGATACTGAGTGACACGATTAATCACGAGAGGTTTGGATACTGTGAGCTGAATTACAAAAACAAAGGGCAGGTAAATACTATTGGCTTAGGCTAACAAAAAGGTACGTACTTTATCAAGTGACTCCCAACTACATTTGAACCAGTTCATTGGATGCATTCGAAGGATCAAATCGACGCCATTTCCAATTTGCCGTGAACACCATGAAGATGCTGTATGTGTTTTTCTTGCTTTTTACCTCGCAATTTGCCTTGGCGAGCTCATTCAAGATTATAAAAGAACAGACCGAGAACGGAATGAAGACTCTGCTGTCGGAAATGAGAAAAACCGCATCAGAATCCACTAAATCAAACATACACCCCTTTTTGACTATGGAAGGTCAAAAAGTTCCTAGTGGAGCCTCCTCTGTAGGACACAATCAAGCAAAATGTAAGCGAGAAAACCTTATTTTAGTGATTGTCTTTTTGGGAAGTAAAGGGCGATATTTTCGTGAGACAAGTCGAGAAAACAAGCTTAGTTTTAGCCCACAATGTCAAATTGGTCAGAAATTAGTGACGATAAACGTCGCTTAAGTATGCACTTTCAGCCACATTTCACATGATTTTAGAAATTTCCCTTCTTGTATTTCATTTAGCTCGGTGTACTAGACTTTGTCAGGACCCACCGATAACTCTTAGTAAAAGTGATCATTTTTCATTCTAACGTAGCTCTTGAAGACCATGCTGCAGTTCAGCTTAGGGGATCCTCAACTAAGAGAACAAAGCGTGAAAGTCCACAAAGTAAGGCCGATCAAGCAGTTAATGGCTGCCGAAAGGAGGACTTGCTCGTCAACACATCAGATCTTGGCTTGTCTGCCAAATTTATTAGACCTGAGAGCTTTAACGCTTACCAGTGCAGAGGAAAGTGTTCCTTAACACAAGGGAACACGTTCACCCTTCACTCACTGCTCGAAGCTTTTGTGAACAAGAAGGGCAACAAAGCCGATGGCGAGGGATGCTGTGTTCCCACCAAACTTCGGTCACTTTCTGTCATTTATTACGCCAAGGAGCATGGAATTTTCGAGCGGCGCACTTTCCAAGATATGATTATTGAAGAATGTGGCTGTTACTAAAACTTTACGCCTCCGATTCCTTTGTGGCAGTACTAAAACCCCAAGATATGATTAAACGATGCAAATCATCAGAGCGAGAAAAAAAAAAAAAAAAAAAAAAATAGCTTGCTTGTAATTTCATTTTATTTCGGGTCGATGGAGCATTCCATGCTAAAGTTCAGTTCGTGAATGGAAATAGGGTAGTGTTTACTGGCATGATATGTTGTTGCTAATTTAAACAGACTGAATGTAACGACGAACTTTAGCGATGTCTTCAGTTATTTCAGTGTAATTCCTACATAATGTCGTCTGGTAGTGCTTGACTTCCAAAATGGAAGTAAAGTAGTGAATGTATTGCTGTAGTCTTAATATAGGCTTATGAATGGATAAAATAAAGATTTGCCACATTATTGCGAGAATTTGCGTGGTAAAAGTAGGGACCATTAAAGCAACGGAGTTACAGAACAAAGGTAGACACAAGTCAGGGGAGGGAGGGATATTTTCTTTCAAGATCGATAACAGTCTCTAAAATGGCATTGTTCTGGCGTATTTTTGTGCCGCATGCAAACATCTGCAGACATCTGAGTTACACTTCTTAAAGCCACTCTTTTCAGTAGAGTCCATTGTTCTATTATACAAAGAGAAAAATATCAGGGAGATGGAAAAACGGTGAGGTGTTTTTCATCGCTAGCAAGAATATTTCTCAATATGCAGTCGTATTTTCCGCAATACTCGCAAGGAAGCCTCAATCGCTTTCTGCAAAATTTTCCCTGCGTTTCGGCCAGGCCAGTCACCTTTCTTGATTTCTCAGCTGGAAAATTATGAAAAGCTTCTTCCTGTTGAAGAAAAAGCACCAAATCACTTTCGCAATAGTGTTTTACACTTTCGTTAGATGTCTGCTTGCATCCTTAAAACAAGGAGCTTTAAGCTACGGAAGAATTAGTTGATAATTGGGAATGAAGCAATTCCAATTGAGCGTCGGCATTTGTTTTTACAAGGATATAACCAGGACTCATCGAAAGCCTTTCATGGGTGGTTTGAATCCTCTCTTCTCTAAAGATTTAATATCACTTGCCATTAACATTACATTGCAAAGATACACTAGGAGGTCTGCAGAGGCGGAACTCTGGGATTTAAATCTGAACTTGGTGCAAGCAATTTCTCCACTTGAAAGGGACCGACGGGAAAGGAGAGACCTTGTCGATTTCTACGCACTACTGGGCGTCAAAAGGACTGATGATGAAATATATTATTGGTCGTATTGTCAGTACAGTACAGTACAGCTTTAGTGGTGAACCATTTTGAAATTTGTGAAAGCGCGAGGAATCACAGAGTTTTCCAAGGGCAATTGTAAAGAACTTTATTTTCACTTTTATTCTTGGTTTACCTGTCTCATTTTACTCATAGCCAATTTAAGCCACCAAAGGGTTGGGAATTAAGAAAGAAGTCTGTTTATTATTTCGGCTTTTCGTTTCAGTTGTGGCCACAGACTTAGTCTCGTACCAGCTCAATGCTCTTTCAGTTCGCAAGTTTCGAGATAGTTCGAAAATCAACAAAATTCTGCATACGTCTAGATGAAGGCGTCCGCGGTAACAAATCAGACTTAGCTGAGGAGCATAAACGACTGTCTTGTCGATCTCAGTGTGTCTTCCAGTATTGGTCAGGCTGTGTTTTAAGGGCGCAGACAGATATAAAGGCGAAAATTTGAGTCCATTTTGGTAGTGGTAGTACTGTGATCTTTTTGTGGACTCAGTTTAAGAAAATCTTGCTAAAGGTTTTCCCCTCGTACTTCAGATCTGGTTCACTCGGTGTAGTTGGTATTTAGAAGCAAAACAAGAGATGCAAATGCGTCTATTCACTGAAGGAGCTGAGTTTGAAACAATATAACAGAACCAACTGTTAACATGCAGTTTAAGCTATCAGTGATTTATGATCTTCCATCTGTAAAAGATTGCCGGAATATTTTAGGCATACTGACTTGAGGGAATGGGAAACTGAAGCTGGCAAGTACATGTGGACCACAAAAGATGGATTCGAGACATGGGAGAAACGAGCGGTTTTGAATCTGTTTTAAAACTTACCTAATGAAGCTACAAAGATGTTCTTTTCAAGTGGCGTGATACCGCACGGCCCTTTGTTTCACTCTAACCGGGACAGAACCTGGCCTCAACTGGAGTCACTTTCTGCCTAGGTTCCCACTCTTATTTCAGGATTTGCGGTTGCTCGAAAGCTGTTAGAATTCAGTGCCACTTAGTTCAGCTGTAAATATTCACAACAGCAACAAAATAACCCCCTGAGGTCTACGTATAAAGGAACACAAGGAACTCCGTCATATATTTCTCGTGGTTTACTGGCTGTAATTCTTTTCCAAGTCAGCATGATGAGTTGCCAAGGCAGACAAAGGCGAAACCGTATATCGACTTCGTAAGGGCAAACGTTCGGACACGTCGAGAACTCAGTTAATTGATGATCGACTCAGACAACTTTGCTAAAATTTCAGTACTATTCATCTGTTCGAGATATCTTGTCACACTTAAAGAGCGCTGTTATTTTATCATAATTGAAAGGACTTCATTTTGTGAGCAAGTTATATCATATGGCTCAGAAAAATTTGTTAGTGTATTGCAGAATCCGGGCGAACATTGTGGAAGAAATATTACTCAACAGTGCTACATAAGAAGGAGGAACACAAATTCAGGACCTAACAAAAATTGCTGTTTTTTACGTCTTATCAACAAAGTTCTCAAAGGTTAATTGTCCTAAGAAATTATTCTTTTTACATATTTCACGGCAGAAGTGGTATTTACTACATAGGCGTTTATATTTACACGTACATGTCGATGCTTTTTCGGGTTTAAAGTATTGTGATGGCCTGAAGGTCATCTTATGTCTCAGATGCCATTTCATTTGGTCTTCGAGTTTTCTATATTATGATATTCAACAGATATATCTAACGAATGTCGAGGAGAAAAATAACGATATCGCCGGGCGACGTGTTCATCTAGACCTGGATTCTTCATGGTAAGATGTAGGCTACAACTGTCGACCCACACTGTCAAGCCAAAATTTGATCACTTCTTTATAGCCTGTCATATCAGGTGTTGCTCACAAATGCAGCCAAACAGGCCCTCGAGGCAGATAAGAACCAAACGAATATATGCAGAAAGAAACGAACTTTTTATTGTCTAAAGAGGCAACAAAACGGACTTGGCTTGTCATAAAGAATCTATGCTTTCTTTGGCTTTCTTCAACATATTGCTTGTAAAGAATTCCCAAGACCAATAAGAATATCAATGGCCACATATTCTCCACTCTCGTTAGTTATGCCAGACGCAGGGTAAAACTGTGAGTCAGGAAATGAGGCGATCTTGGTCGCTGAGTAGGAAAACAAAGATGGACTCGCCCTCTGAAACC